TTTTATTTATTTTTAATTTTTAATTTTATTTTTATCTATTTAAAATTTTTATTTTTTTAAATTTTTTTATTTTTTTTTATTTTTTTATTCAATTAATATATAGTGTTTATGCTGTTAATAAGTTTTTTTGCTAAAATTTAGGATTAGAATATAGCTACAGAGTAAAGTAGAGGTTTAAATTTTAATTAACATAAGGTATTTGGGGGTTTAAACATTTTTACTTGATACTCTTGAGGTGTATAGCTAGTATATTTTTAAGATATAGCAACTATGGTGTTCAACACCAAAAGTGGTGCATTTTAGTTTAATTGTTTTTATTTTTTATTTTTTTTATTTTTTTTATTTTTTTTTATTTTTTTTATTTTTTTTATTTTTTTATTTTTTATTTTGAAAATACTATAACTACTTTTAATCTAGGGTAATTCTTAATAAATTTAAGATGTTTTATTTTTTCTATTTTTTATTTTGAATATTATTAACTATAACCGGTGGTAATTATCACCAGTGTGTAATTAGCCAATAAATTTGCAGGATCAGGTATAATATGCAAATTTATTTGTATAACAAAAATAAAGATTTTTTCAAAAAAATGCCAATATCTCAAGAATTCATTTATGAAACCACCTTTGACATTCTAACCAAAAAAATCTCTTACTAAATTTTACATATATATAATATCATGCTAAAATCACAGATCTCGCCCTAACTCTAAAGTAAATGAAATGAATATTTTTTTGTTTTACCATTATTGGCTAATTACACACTGGTGATGATCACCACTAGTTATTTTAAAATTTATTCTTTTATTTTTTTCTATTTTTATTTTATTTTTATTTTTATAATACTAAAATGTTATAAATAATAAAAAGAGTAGAAATTTTTTTCAGGTTCAAGTTGGTTTGCTTAGCTTGATATTAATTTATAGGCGTTGAGTAGCTTGTGCTACCTGCCACATTATGTGGTAATCATTACACCAATACCATTTGAGGTATAACTATTCCAAATATAGAATTCACATGATCAGTGAAGAAATTAGTGAAACCAATTAAGGAATTTGTATCACTCAATCTGCATCTACTTATTTTAGTGAATAATACAAACCCCTTAAAAAGTGGGTTAATTAAAGCCAGATACATTTGGTATAAATTTGGAAATGATCTATGTGCTGTATAAATTACTTTCTTGATATCTATATAATCCATTAATCATAACTGCATCAAAAAAGTAACCAACCCTAATTGCATCAAAAAAAGTAACTCTAATACACCTTTGCTTTAACTATCCTCTAAAAGGAAGTTACCCAATCGAAGAGCACAAATTTTGACTATTCCAGATCAGCCCGAAATGAATTCCGAACATGTGTAGAAGAAAAAAATCAAAAATACTCAAAAACTAGTGGTAAAATTAATCTAGGAACAATTTTCACTTAATAGGCGGCTGTGATTTAATTAGTAAACTTTTGAGTAATTCCAGCCAAATTTTTTGATTGTCACTCTTAACCAATCAAATTGAGAGAATCCGCCGAGACAATTTTGTTGCTCTATGTTACTGGTTTCGCTAGTTTCGCCAGGTTTCGCCAGTTTTGCTAGTTTCTGCAGGTTTTGCCAGTTTCGCTATTTTATCTTTTTAATTTTTTTTAGCGAAAGTCAAATAAATTTTTAAAGAACAACAAATAGAACAAGCGACGAAAAGCAAGTACTCTGAACCAAAATTATTAAGTATGTTATTGTTTTATTATATCAAAAATTTCAAACTATCAACTTACAATTACTGATTAGATTATGTAGAGTTATTGAAGAAAATACAGGAAACCAAAGGAATGTCAGAGAGTTTTGCTTCTCAAGACCCAAGCAATATATTTGAAATGTTTACTTAGCCTGTCAACTAATATTTTAATAAAGTCTTGGAAGTGTCAATGGAACCCAAACCATTTCCAAAGATAATGGAGAATGTTGAAAGCTGCGCTAAATATCTAAAAATTTGGGAGTTACATTACAATAATTGTAATAGATTAATCACAATTCAAGATCTAAAAAAGTTAGATTTGATTTATTCATTAACTGATGTATTTTTCATCATGCTAAAGATATGTTATCAAAAACAAGCCAAAGATGCATCATTGATGAAAAATACTAATACCTGGAAGGGAAGGGATATTAAATCACGAATGAATAAATTCTGGAATCTAAGTTCACGTACAATGCTAACAAAGTGGACTAGTTGTTGGAGATTATGTCACTTTCTTTGAATAACAAATATCACACCTAAAGAAATGGTTGAAGTAAAGTTAAAAGTGGATTTTTTTCGCAATGCGACTGAAATTGAGTATAATTTCTTCATCAAAGAATTATTAGGGCATGGTTTCCCTAATTTTTCAAATATAAAAGACAAAAAAATTTTAGATTTAGTAGAAATTGCCAAAAAAAATTGATTTTTTTAAATAAATTAAATCTTAATAAAACTTCTGCTATATTGTATGCTCAAATTTTAAAATTTAATAGTTTAGAGATATTGCAAAAATAAAAAAATTAGAACAGGATTAAAAGCTGCTTTATTCATTAATTGATGTGAATTAACTACAGTCAGACCTCTTTATAGTCACCTTTATAGTTACATTTTCTTATAATCACATAATTTTTTTTCAAAACACGAATTGGTGTACTTTACCACATAAATTCTTAAAACCAACTTATATAACACTTATAAAATTTAACCTCTATATAGGCCCAAACTCTCTATAAGCACCAAATTATTAAAACCAAGAGTGATATAGCTTTAATGCTAGCCAAATCATGTGATAGTTTTTACCAACATTAATATCAACTTACGTCAGATCAAAATTTGAATGAGTTTCATTAGATTGAAGTTAATTTGCACATGTTTTTATTTGTAAATTTAAAATTTTTTGATAAATAAATAATTAAAAATTTATAAGAATAAGTCTATCGCTAAATCATTAAAAGGGAAATAATTGAATGTAAATTTAGTGATAATAATGCTGCGAACAATATCATTTTTTGGATTAAAGAGAAGAATATCTATTCAGTGAATATAGTTGGAGCAAGTGAAGATAACAATTAGATATACTGAGCTAATTATTGTGATCTTACTATCGTTGAATTTATAATTTTCCTCTCTACAACTTTTACCAGAAGTTCAAGCAAGATTTGCATAATAAAAAAATCCGCTTTAATTGAAAAAACCACGTTTTTTTTATAAAATTTTACTTCAAGTTCATTGGCCAATTTTAAGTGCGGTGGTCACATGACTTTTTTAACGTATCTCAAAAAAGTAATGAAATTTCAGGTCACGTCTAGGTATCAAATAGGAGTATCAAAAAAGTAAGATTTGCAGATATGTTAGTATAAATAAAGACACGTGATGTATATCTGACATAAGCCATTTTTTAATTCAATTAACAAGAAATAAACTTCTTAAGTAATCAATTTGACAATTCTACATACCAATACGTAGAATTTGTAAGTTTTCATACACAAAAATTCATTGATATCGATATTGAATAATTTAGAAAACTTAATTTTGAGATTATTGAGTTGATTTTATTTTAATAAAATTATTCTTCATCTAATTCACTAATATGTACTTGACAAATATGAGATAAATCATAATACATTGATAAAATGTAAATTCACAAGTTTTTTCCCCAAGCAAAGTGAACTCTTTGTTTATCTCTTCAAATAAAGTAGAATTAAATTTTCTGGATAAAAATAACTCGGTCTTGTATCTCGTACGCTTCTCAAAATACTCCTTTTCCTTTGGTTGTAATTTTTTAGTAAGTTCTTTAATTTTATCATCAAAATTTCTTTTCTTGACTGCGATGAAGGATCTAACATCCCGGTACATCGCCATCGCAAAATACTTATCTTCATTGATGGTATTTATCATAAGTTCATCAAATACTTCAATATTTTGAAAACACGTGAGCACAATAAATTCTTCCAAACACTCATCCAGTTCGCATTGCTTAACTGTTTGATTAAAAGAAGGAAATACATCTCCACTTGCTTTCTTTAAGGCCGCTTGAAGTTAAATTTTCGGTTAACATCACTTTCAGAGCTCTCGGGAAGGGGGAGAGGGGGTAAAATGAACTGAACATATAAAATAAACAAAAATGGGCTAATTTCATTGGTCGATGTAAATCATGTTTTTGGCGAGGGCTGTCCAGCGTTTTGATTGGTTGTTCATTTTTCGGGGGAGACTTCAACCGAGAGGGGGGGGGGGTGATGTTAACCGAAGAATCAACTTCGAACGGCCTAAATATTCTTTAGTTAGTAACGTTTCTTTCACAAAGAATGTTGCTTCTTTGTACTTTTTACGCTTCTCGAAATAGGGCTTTATAAACATTTCGAAATAACGATCAATGAACTTCTTTTATTGTTCTTTGACTAGTTTTGTTTGGTGGTTGTTAAAGTACGTAATAATTTTTATTTTAATTTCTTCACTCATTGTGGTATACCGTAATGATTGAATGTTTTATCTGGTTGCTTAAATGTATTTAAAGTCTCAAGAAATTGCTGGTGGTACATAGATTGACCGTATAAAGTTAGAGTTAGAGTGTCCAGATTAGAGTGTCCATTCGGCGATTTTCCTATTGTTTAAACAATACAAACTGAATTGAAACGCATAATCTGGACTAGAGTATACCAGATTATGCGTTTTCCTATTGTTTAAACAATACAAAACTGAATTGAAACTGCCAGAAAAAACTGGCAGTTATAAGTAATTAACAATAACTACATCGACAGAATCTTAAATAAATAAATAAATACATGCTGCATTTCTAACTATAACATTTTACAGCATTTATTTTGAACTTTATGTAGCTATAACTTAACTTTCGTTTCTTTTCATTTTACCAGAGATACTTTTAACCAATCAAAATCGTAAAGCTTGCTTTTCCTTATCGCTAATCAACATGTGATATTTTTCACAAAATAAAATTTTACGATTTTAATTGGCTAAACTATGACGATTTATCTTGCAAATATATATAAGTAAGCAATTCATGAAACACCAATCTACAATAGTAATTCATGAAACACCAAGCTACAATATCTTGATGTTGAGTGATAAAAAACAAAAAAAAAGTTAAACGCAACGATTCAACAAAGGTAACGTCCCAATAAAAAAAGTTTGTTCAGTTATTGTAGGCATTGTGGCAGACATAATTTTGGTAGAATTAATTTTAGTGGAATTAAT